AATACATATATATTTGTGAACATTCATTGTTTGAGGGGATAAATCTCAAACAATGGACTTAGGCTTTAGTATATGCTTTAGAGAGTAGGTTAAAATTGGCGAAAGTTATATCAGACCTTAAAGAACTTGAAATTGATATAGAGTTAATGGTATATGTCTAAAATATTTGGTTGTTGTTGTTTTTATGACACTGTTTCTGTCAGGAGTTTGTCTTCCATGAGACAAAACTATGGTGGTCGTGTGGTGCAAAAACAATGCACAAACATAACTGCACCAGAAATACAGAAAGTACTGCAACAACAAAAAGGTGTGTCTGAATGTTTTCTTTTTCTAACATAACATTTTAAAATGCATCAACTATATTCTGTTTTTATTTTTGATATGATGGATTGTATGATATGATGTCAAATTTCAGACTTTTTACACTTTTCTAGGACCTCAGGAAGACTAGCAGTCACTTTGCGGCAGCTTATGGTATACCAATAGAGAACAACAAACCCCCCCATAAATATGAGACTTACAAACCCACTCAAAGGAAAACGCTGAAAAGGAGAAATGTTGCAATCACAGAAAATAAAAAGCAACAAAGTGAAAACATGCTGCAAACACAAAACCCCCTGGAAACACAAAAAACACAACTGCAAGTTAAGAAAAGCTGTAAACTACCAGAAGTGCTGTAAATCACCAAAGTGAGACAATCATCAACAGAGGTACCAGATCTGTAATTAAAACATAAAAATGACTGAGTGGACAGAGAAAATAATGAAAGTATTTTTCACATTTTAGGAGAAAAAAAATTGTACTGTATATATAAAAAAAAAAATCCCCTAAATATATAGACATAAATTGATAAAGTGTTTGTGAAAACTGAGTGTCCTCATCTCAATGGATAGATTTGTCCCGCCATGTGTCTGAGCATGTAAGACCTTTTTAATATCATGTCACAACACCTCAGTTTCAAAACATTTATTGTGAACTTAGGAAACTCAGGGCTGACGTTTCAGATGCTTTCTTGAGGTCTTTTTTTCCTGGATGATTTGGTAAAGTACTCAAGCTTGTTGTTGAGTTGGCGTAGGCTGACCTTTGCTTATAAGGTTCAGCACTGTTCTATAGTTTCTTCATTTTAGAATAACAAACTTCTCAGTTTCAATTCCCTGGGGAAAAAAACAACTCTGTAATCAGTTTCAAACTCATATAATTCCAAACTGAGTTTCTTATCTTGTATATATCTTAGTATGGTCTCTATGTATCTCTTTTTAAATATTTTAGCATCACGCATCTTGTCTGACAAGATACACTATTTTTCTAAAAGTATTCACTCACCTGCCTTGTGTCAAATATCAGATTAAGTAACATCCCATTCCTATTCCATGGGGGTTTGACATGACATTGGTTCACCCTTTGCTGCTTGAACAGCACCAGGTCTTCTGGAAAGACTGTCCACTAGGTTTAACAGTGTATTTATGGGAATATTTAACCATTCTTCCAGAAGTGCATTTGTGACGTCAAACACTGATGTTGGACAATAAGGCCTGGCTCTCAGTCTCCACTGCAATTCATCCCAAAGGTTGAGGTCTAAACTGTCTTAACTCTGTGCAGTTTAATAGTCAAGTTCACCCACACAAGACTTTGCCATTCAGTCTTAATGAGCTTTACTGTATGCATTTTTGCGCGGTCATGATGGAAGAGGAAGGGCAAAGTTCCCACAAATTTGGGCCCATCAAATTGTCCAAAATGTGTTGGCATGCCGAAGCATTTAAAAATCTTTTCACTAGAACTAAGGGGCATAGCCCAGCTATGCCCCTTAGTTCTAAAACTAAGGGGCAAAACAAAATATCTGCTTCATAATCACCATTCCACCAAACTTTTCAACAGTGAAGTCAGACAAGTACGTTTTCCTGTAAACTGGCAAACTTAGTCTTGTTAATCAGATTACCAGATGGAGATGCGCAATTCATCACCCCAGAGAATGCGTCTCCACTGCTCTGGAGTCCATTGGCGGTGTGCTTCATACTACCGCTTTGCATTGCACTCAGTGATGTATGGCTTGGATGCAGCTGATCAACCATGGAAACTCATTTCATAAAACTCTCTGAAGACTGTGCTTGAGATAATCTGAAGGTTACATGATGTTTGATGGTTCAAGGTTGCACTGACGTCAATGATAATCATCCTAACAGAGGCGTGTAGTGATTGACTCCCATTATGCCCATCAGCAGCCACTGACCATTCTCCGTCAGTTAACGTAGACTATCACTTCATGACCCCAGCCAGAAATCAGCCACATTATGAACTCTCTTTTGAATATATCATGGTCCGTCTCACCTGAATTCTGGGTACTATGTTCTGAGCCTTCTGACACTTCATGGCAATTCACTGAGGGCGACCATTTCTTGTAACAATCTACATGCCTTGGCGCTTGGTTTTTATACAACTGTGGCCATGGAAATTATTGGAATGCCTGATTTCAATTTGGATGGCTGAGCAAATTATGTGGCAATATAGTGTTTGTAAATAAAAAGTAAAACTGGACCAAAAATTGTGTTAAACAATATTTCAGAATTTACAATGAGACATATGCTTTTATACAGCATCCTGTGTTTCCTGAAAGTGTGTCAAACAACAATGGTGTTCTACAATACTGCTTCGTCTTATTTATGTCCTGAGGCTTAGAGTGTGTCTGAAATATTTTGCATCTCTTTCACTTAAGTCGTTCCACTTTATTCTTTATTACAGCAACATATTTATTGCCATTAAACTAGTTCAGATCAGTTTGATTTGTTAAATAAGGGTTTGGTTCATCTATATTTATCAGAGCTCATAGCTATTTAAGCATCATTACTGTGTGTTTTAGGCTACATGGAAAACTCTAACATTAAATAGAAATTCTTCTTGCAGCAGTAAGATTGTGTTTGATCCTCCCAAATGCTCAAATCCTTCCTTTAAGTTTCATTAATTGCCGTGATCAGTTTCTTTTGATTATTCTCCCCAAAGGCTTCCTTTGTCAACTATTTTGTTCAGTTATTTTTACTGATGATTCATCTATTTCTTTGCCATCTTAACGGTAACTTGCATAATTGTTTTTATTATTAGTGTTGATTGTCAGTATCATTATTATCATCTAGGATGTTACTTTCAGTTGAGTATTATTTGTTTTAATCAGCACTTTTTTTCATCAAAGCTTTTAAAAGCTTATTTTTTCTCTGATTTAGCCATCTATCATCTTTCGGTTGTTTTCTATCTTCATTATTGACTTTATGTGAATTTAAAGTCAGAGTTTGACTCTTTGATTTTTTTTCGTTTCTCATTGCCACATGCTTTTCATTATCTAATCTCTCTTAGTTTTTGTATCTTTATGTTTGAGATCTTTCTCTTTTTAGATTCCTATATGAGACTTTCAGTTTTGCAAGGGAAAATGCATTGTATATGCAACCAATTTGAAATTATTGAACTCCTTCTGTGGGAAGAACAGGACATACGGAGCTCCAGGCAACATCCCATGTGACATAGACCCTTGTTTACAGAAACACGGACGGTGAAATGACTCTAGAAATATGACCGAGGCAAGGGCATAATCTGACCATACTAAGCAACAAATAAAGAAGGAGTCATGCAATAAAAAGAGAAACATACTACAGAAGTTGAAGGAGTTCACCTCTCACCCGGTGAGCTCTTGACAGCCCAGCTCCGACCTACTGCTGACTACTCATAATCAATCACATCCCAGCCCCAGCCTTGCAATTAATCGATCAATTAAAAAACCCACACACAACTGCAGTGGTGTAATCAATCAATGCAGCTTGTGTGGTGAGTGTTATTGAGAGCCAAGTTTCAGATCTATAGACATCAGTCCCAAGGTACTAGAACTGATCTTAGTCACAAGAAATGAAGATGAATAAAAGTGGATGAAAGGAGGAGTGATACAAAATGCTGGGGTGTGATCCATAGCTGAACGGAGAGGAGGCTCTCAAAACTCCCATCATATGCCAGCAGTGGCTGAATATTCATAATAACGAATCAGGTACCATGGAGGCGTTCAGTTATTCATTATGCTTCTGCAGAAAGAAACACCCCACTGTCCCACTGCGATGGAATTTTAATAGGTCCTATTAATAAAATATCCCATTCCCCATCTGAAGTCTTCCTTAAACTTTCTTGCCCATTTCACTTGGGATCTTTGAAGGTGACCATGATGGGACAATGGAAGGCAGCGAGTCAATTGATATTCGAGTGTTAGTGAAACAATTTAAACACCATAACTTGATCATTTATTTCAGAAAAAAGGGAGGCTCCTACTTGAACAAACTATTTAAAGTGAAAATAGAAAAATAGAGTGGGAGGAGATAGCAAGAACAGCTCTATAGCTAGATACTCAGAGGAAATGAATGTTTAATTTAGCACTGCCTGAAAGTATGCTGACATTTTGCCATTGTTGGGAGAGACGAATACATGGCATACTGTCTGCTTAGAGAAATGAAAATGTGCATCAAGGCTGTTAAAAATTCAACTCTATTCCCCAGCCGGGCATGCAAATCTAGGCTAAGAATACAGTAGGTAAGCTGCCATATTTACCAATTCAAGCCTCCCCTGATTTAGTCGGTGGGTGTTATTTTAATCTCATCATCTTCATGTAACTTCATATCAGAAACAAGATCTCTGCAGATAAAAATTGCGCTCCCCAGATTTTTTAACTCATTAGATCACCCCCTATGAACTATGGTTTACCAAAATAATTCCTCTGACATTTTCGGTTTCCCTCAGCCTAAACGGATCGGATCAGGCGCCATAAGGGTTTCTTCAGCATTATCTGTTGGACTTGTCTCACAAGATAAGCAAGCATCTGGGGATGGAAGGAGATGTTAGCTCTCTGACAACACCCGAGAAGGGGCAAAAGTGGTCCACCATGGGCGAAGCAATGACACTGAACGAGAGACTGTGAGACAGGAGATAGAAAAAAGAGAGGAAGTGAGAGATAGAAGCAGAGAGAGAAGGTCAAGTACCTGCCACTCCTGTCAAACACTTCTTCCAACAGCTGAGCTGTGTCCAGCAGGGTGGCTGGCTGCTTTCAGGGCCTTTCATCTCACAGAGGTGATGGGTGATGAGAGCTGCTCTTCTTCACATTTATCGTCTGTCACAATATATTCGCCAGTCTTGGTGACTACAGGACACCTCTAGGCAGCTGTGACCTGTGGGGAAAAAGTGCATCTGGTTTGATGAAATGCCCAAAAAAGACTTTGTTTGGTTGATGTTTTGCAGACTTTGATGGAAATCACAAGATTTTAATAATTACTTAAGTCTAGACCTGGGGCTCTGGAGTCAGATTTGGCTCTTTAGACCCTCCGCCAGAACCTTACTCAATAAAAATAAAGCAATAATCATAGTTTCTAGATAAAAACTGTTTTTTTTTCATGTGCTGTTCTTAATATCTGCAAAGGATTCCCACAACAGAAAGACAGCAACATTGTAAGAAACATTTTCCCAAGTCAGTTATTCAATTTGATGAAAATCTAATTTTGTTGCATTTTCTACAAGCATGGGGTTTAAGAAATTGCTAATTATGTTATTAAATGATCTCTGGATATCTTAATTAAAGCAGATTTTCTGTGGTGGGTTTTTATAAAGAGTGAAATCATGTTTTTTTTCTTGTAAAGTACATTTTGTGGCTCAGGAATATATATATATATATTTTTACCAGACTGAAGTCAGAAATAGCTCTTGAGATTGTAAAAGCTGCTGACTCCTTGTCTATATGTTAGTGCAAGAAAAGCTTGCAAGAAAAGCTATCAGCCAGTTTCCAGGCCTTACCTGAAGGCACAAAACTAAACTTCAAGTGTGAAAAGTTGGGTACGGATAGCGCTCCTGGATCGGAAACAGAAGAAAGAAGCAGAGACTGGATTCAGAGTTTAACAGACTAATTTTGGCTGTCAGAAAAACAGACATAAAGTCACCGGAACAGAGTGAACCGCTGTCTGACCACTGGAGCTGCAGCCCAGCAGACTGTGACTGACTGACAGGATCTGAGGCGAGGATGGCGACGTGGACACTGCGCCACACCAGGCCAACTGGCTCGTTGAGACAAGTTCTGTTTTTCTGAGCCCACGGGGACTCAGTTGAAACTTTCTGCCATCCCCATTCCTGAAAGCCTCCCAGGGCTTCAGCAAAAAAAAAAAAAAAGGAATCAGGAACAAGGGGTTTAGTTTGGAGAGTTGTTTTTCTCACCAAAAGTCAGCCAACTTTACCTATGGGAGACTTTTTCTCTGAGGTACACTATATTGCCAAAAGTATTTGCTCACCCATCCAAATTATTGGAATCAGGTGTTCCAATCACTTCCATGGCCACAGGTGTATAAATTCAAGCACCTAGGCATGCAGACTGTTTTTACAAACATTTGTGAAAGAATGGGTCGCTCTCAGGAGCTCAGTGAATTCCAGCGTGGAACTGTGATAGGATGCCACCTGTGCAACAAATCCAGTCGTGAAATTTCCTCGCTCCTAAATATTCCACAGTCAACTGTCAGCTGTATTATAAGAAAATGGAAGTGTTTGGGAACGACAGCAACTCAGCCACGAAGTGGTAGGCCACGTAAACTGACGGAGCGGGGTCAGCGGATGCTGACGCGCATAGTGCGAAGAGGTCGCCAACTTTCTGCAGAGTCAATCACTACAGACCTCCAAACTTCATGTGGCCTTCAGATTAGCTCAAGAACAGTGCGCAGAGAGCTTCATGGAATGGGTTTCCATGGTCGAGCAGCTGCATCCAAGCCATACATCACCAAGTGCAATGCAAAGCGTCGGATGCGGTGGTGTAAAGCACGCCGCCACTGGACTCTAGAGCAGTGGAGACGCGTTCTCTGGAGTGACGAATCGCGCTTCTCCATCTGGCAATCTGATGGATGGGTCTGGGTTTGGCGGTTGCCAGGAGAACGGTACTTGTCTGACTGCATTGTGCCAAGTGTAAAGTTTGGTGGAGGGGGGATTATGGTGTGGGGTTGTTTTTCAGGAGCTGGGCTTGGCCCCTTAGTTCCAGTGAAAGGAACTCTGAATGCTTCAGCATACCAAGACATTTTGGACAATTCCATGCTCCCAACTTTGTGGGAACAGTTTGGAGCTGGCCCCTTCCTCTTCCAACATGACTGTGCACCAGTGCACAAAGCAAGGTCCATAAAGACATGGATGACAGAGTCTGGTGTGGATGAACTTGACTGGCCTGCACAGAGTCCTGACCTCAACCCGATAGAACACCTTTGGGATGAATTAGAGCGGAGACTGAGAGCCAGGCCTTCTCGTCCAACATCAGTGTGCGACCTCACAAATGCGCTTCTGGAAGAATGGTCAAAAATTCCCATAAACACACTCCTAAACCTTGTGGACAGCCTTCCCAGAAGAGTTGAAGCTGTTCTAGCTGCAAAGGGTGGACCGACGTCATATTGAACCCTATGGATTAGGAACGGGATGTCACTTAAGCTCATATGTGAGTCAAGGCAGGTGAGCAAATACTTTTGGCAATATAGTGTAGCTCCAGATAGGCTCATCTTTAACTGCCATACCCCTCTCATAGCTCTTCCCAAGACAGAGAAGCACATGCGGTTCAGCAAGAAGCACCTGGCAGCCACCTTGAAACCTGCAGACGGCCTGAAATTGTGTTAGGAGCAAGAAGAAGGCATGCAGATATCTACAAAGAATGGTCTGGAATTCACAGACTTACCATCACTGAGAGCACAGATATGAGTGAGATGATCAGATATAGAGAGGGGAGGCATTTTAAAAAGCAGCCTAGAAAGCAGCAGATACAGTACTGAGTGAGAAGTGCATGAATTTAGATCCTGAGGGCTTTATTTATTTGATGCATGTGGGTACAAATTAATTTTTATTCACAGTGTGCTTGCACGGTTAAAAAACATCTTCTTCTGTCAAAGAGTTGCAAGTTTTGCATACTGTACAAACAGTGGGCTAAAAAGACCCTTGCACAGTGCAGTGGGACTGTTACCAAGTTGTCACGGTAATATTTGCAGGTTATAAATGATTCAAGGAAAATTCAGACAAGCAGCAAAGGCAATAAGTCTATATGGAGGAAAATATTGTCACTTCTTTGATTGATTGCATATTGCAACAAGGCAACAACAGGAGTAGTTCATCCTTACATATCTTCATTTTGATTTTCTTTTTTTTTTTTTTTGCTCTTCTGTCAATATCTGGCTTTTGTTTAGACTTCACAGATCTATATAGAAATGGACTTCTGCTTGTTTCAATAAAGAACTAGAATCCCAAAAAAATCTTTATTACCAGCTAAAAATACTTTATAATATCCATTCTTCTGCTATGTTAGGCTTCTGTTTATGATGTTTAATGTTAGTCAATCTAAAACTAATGCATTTGACCACTTTTGAGTGTTTTCCTAAGACTTAAACAAAAAGAATCCAAAAGAAGGATTATTTCTTTGGTTAAAATGGAAAAAAAACATTGATTATCAATATGCTGGCCCATTATACTCAGCAGCCTCTCCTGTCATGCATCATCAGCATCCTTCCCTGCTGTTTAAAATAGATTACTGTGTATACTTGTCATAAGTGATGGATTGTAATGAAGTGGATCCATACTCACACCAGCCATTTCACTGATGGGTCTGACAGAGAGAATAGATAAACACAATAAAGCTGACAAAGGAGGCATTTTGCAAGAGTTTTAGGAATGTGGACAGAAAAAGATGTTGCAAATCTGCTCCTTCTTTCAAGGTATTAAGTGCTGCCAGTCAGGATTTTAATTTCCACCTGTTGTTAAGCTTAAATTTGTGAAAGCCGAAAAATTGGTGATTTATATTTTACTTTACAGCCAAGGTGGTAATAATTCATTGATGGATTGTCTCTTTGTTTTCTGGTTAGACCTAGAATTAAGATATGTTTTTGTCATCAGTTATAAAAATAGATATTTAAATTTTTTTTTTCCAGCTTTGAATAGCAGCACAGTAAAATAGAAAAAAAAATTCCAAAACTATTTTTGCAGCCCACCACAACAGGTATCTGCTTTATGGTACTGATCAATATTTTTCACAGGAGCAATGTATAAAATGTCTTTTTGAAAACAACTGGAAACCTTAAAAGAGTTTCCCCCTTGATGATCAACCCGAATCTGCTCCTCACAGCATTTTTAGAGCTTTATTGTAGGTTCTCTCCTATTGTTCTGCTGTCTGCTTTAAAATTGACTTATTTTGGGTTTCTTTCCTCTTTGTACTGCCACAGCTGTCCACGGAAGACAACATCTCATTTCACCCAAAGGCTTAAATACACCCCACAACACATACACACACACACCTACACACAGTTTTGTTTTTATGACATATGGGGATATTTTATTGACTTGCATTCATTTTATATGGCCTAACCCAGATCCTTACCCTACACTAACCCTACCTATTACCAACATATAACTAACCCTAACTCAAAGGACAAAACTTTACCATATGGGGACCAGTTGAATGTCTCCATATTTACCTGGAAGTCCCCGACATGTAGGTATAACACGTCCCCCCTACACATGACCAAACTATATTTCAGTGGACCTCTTTGTTGTGATTTTAATAAAATTTTACCTATCTTTTTTTTTTTTTATCTAATTTAAATGCAACAGATTATTCAAACATTTTCAGGAACTTAATCTCATTTAAAACAGAAAATGGTTTTCAAGATTTTTTTTTATCAACAAAAACAGAGTAATCTACTGTATCCATCTATGTTCTTCCAGTTTTTGCGTCAGGGTTGCAATGGGGCTGGTGTCTCTATGGAAGCCTATGGGAAAGAGGCGGGTTACACCCTGGACAGGTCACCAATCCATTGCAGAAAAAAATCTATCCATTAGAAACTAACCCTATGGAAAATGTTATTGTCCATTGACATCCTGAACAGCAACAGTTACCATTAAGGGTGATACTTCGCAAAAAGATTTTTTATTTCTAAACTTATTTAATGAGCACAGACTTTTTCATTCACTGCATTGGTGGCAGGACAGCGATAAAAGAGAGCATTGACCAGGAGTTAAAAGCCAAAGTGTGACAGGCACACATCTGATTTTTTTTTTTTTTACCAGTGGGTATCCCAGATAAATAACTTAGAAATATTAGCACAAAATGTTGTCAAAGTTAATATATTTTTCTGTCCAACTTGACATTCACTCCATAATAGGCAATAACCAT